CGGGAGCGCCGCCACACTCCCAAGCGGCGCACTGTAGCAGTGCGCCACCAGGCCGGCCCTATGATGTCTGTTTTATTAACACAGTTTTATTTGTAAGTTAGGACAAAAAAACCCCAGAATCATTCTAGTCAATCTTCTCATACCCTTTGAAGAATTAAATATAGTATCTTTTTGTAAGATAGGAAACGGTTGAGTCACAAGCAGGTATCTTATCAATAAGCAGACAAGAAATGCAAATATATAAATATTTTAAATATTTAGAGATGCAGGAGTTTCTGTACGATTATAATCCACAAGATTCTGTTCATGAAATGTTGGTTATCTTTGTTCTCTCAACTGGGCCATGAAGTGATGGGAGCAGCATGAGTCTTTCTCCTCTACCTGCCATTTTCAATCATGCACAGGTCTAAGGAAGTGGCAGAAGTTATAGGCCACCAACTGCTATGGCCTGAATGTTTGTGTCCCGCAAATTCATATGCTGAAATTCTAACTCCGAAGTTGATGGTATTAGGAGGTGGGGCCTTTGGGAGGTGATTAGGTTATGAGGGTGGAGCTCTCAGGAATGGGATTAGTGCCCTTATAAAAGAGGCCTGAGAGACACCTCACCCCTTCCACCNCCTTCCTGTTCTGACCATCACTAAACCTACATGTTTTAATTTTAAAATCTCTCTGAGTTAAGCAATACACTTATAAATTAATTTACAACAAGAGGCCTAGGCTAGACAATAGGCCTACTGGTTCAGTGTTAAGATATTTATGATCAAAGAAGCACATCTACTTTCTTATTGTCAAGGTGTTATTTTTGCTTCTTTTATGAACAAACTTCATTTTGTGAACAAACTAGAGAAAAACTCTAGCTAGACACTGCAGAGCCAAGACATTTGTAGAAACAATCAGCTGCAGATTTCAGTTTTATGTCTCTGGGACCCCTGAGTAGAGCTGTCAGATAATATAACACACCAACTAAAGTTGAATTTCAGATAAACAGGATATAATTTTTTAGCAAAAGTATGCTCCATGTGTACTAAAAAGGCTATTCATTGTTTATCTGAAATTCAAATATAACTGGGCACCCTATGTTTTTATAACATATGGATTTATTTGCTAAATTAAACAAGTATTTTGCTAAATCTGGTAAACCTACTCCTAAGGAGCTCAAGGAACTTCATTGCTATGAGCTCATTCAACCTCCTCTGATACTGCTGGCAGAGCAATAAAAGAACAGAAAGGACATTATGATGTCTGTTTTATTAACACAGTTTTATTTGTAAGTTAGGACACAAAAAACCCAGAATCATTCTAGTCAATCTTCTCATACTCTTTGAAGAATTAAATATAGTATCTTTTTGTAAGATAGGAAACGGTTGAGTCACAAGCAGGTATCTTATCAATAAGCAGACAAGAAATGCAAATATATAAATATTTTAAATATTTAGAGATGCAGGAGTTTCTGTACGATTATAATCCACAAGATTCTGTTCATGAAATGTTGGTTATCTTTGTTCTCTCGACTGGGCCATGAAGTGATGGGAGCAGCATGAGTCTTTCTCCTCTACCTGCCATTTTCAATCATGCACAGGTCTAAGGAAGGGGCAGAAGTTATAGGCCACCAACTGCTATGGCCTGAATGTTTGTGTCCCCCAAATTCATATGCTGAAATTCTAACTCCCAAGTTGATGGTATTAGGAGGTGGGGCCTTTGGGAGGTGATTAGGTTATGAGGGTGGAGCCCTCAGGAATGGGATTAGTGCCCTTATAAAAGAGGCCTGAGAGACACCTCACCCCTTCCACCATGTGTGGTTAGAGTGAAGAGACTTCCATCTATGAGGAAACCCTCACCAGACACTGAATCTGCCAGCATCTTCATCTGGACTTTCCAGCCTCCAGAACTGTAAGAAATACATTTCTGGTTTGTAAGTCATCCAGTCTATGGCATTTTGTTATAGCAACCTGAATGGAATAAGACATCAACCTATGAAAAACACTAGGAACACCTAATAGCAAAAAGGGGAAGCAATGAAAAGAAAGAAAAGCAAATGGAACACAGCACTTACGACAATTGCCAGGGGTGCTGTGTTCCCATTGCACCCTCCTCACTCCAGGGAAATGAGCTTCCTGCTCCTCAGCCTAAGGCGTTATTGAACCAGTCATTCACTTAGTTACTCCACAAACATTTAATGAGATCCTGCCATGTATTAGGCCCTGTTTTCAGTGCTTGGATACCTCAGTGAACAGAGCAGACAAAACCCACCATATCCTAGAGTTTATATTATTATACTTCAGAATTCTTATTTGTATTTCCTACTAAGCATTTTTTAAACACTTTACCTTGATCTTTTTTACCTTCTTCCACTATTTCACTTCTCTGCTTCTCTTATTTTATATAGTTGACTATGTGGAAGAATGGAAGTAGGATTTTCACTGGTTACTGTGAATTTTCTCATAACTGCCAAACTTGTGTTATATTTGGGAGACATTCAGACCTAAATTAAACCTAAGTTAAAACCTAAAAACCTAAATTAAAACCTAAATTCTTAAAGATGCACTCTGATGCTTTCTATATGGCAAGCAAGGTTAAAAAAAGAGAGAGAGAGAGAGAGGAGAAAAGAAAGAGGAAGAGGATAAGGGGGAGGATAGGAGAAGAAGAAAGAGGGGGTTGAGAAACAAAAGAGCTGGGTATGACTTACCAATTCTGTAAATAAGAACTTTGCTGCCAGTGGGATCCCTGGATCTCAGGACTCCATGGTAGCCAGCCTTCAGAAGACCAAGAATACTTCTGGGGTGTAGATCTGCACTTATTTCTGGACATTCCTTTCTCCACTTATAATAGTTTTTTAGCAACTGAAAAATAAAATTGAAATCGTCTACAGATAACATACATGGTAAGCATTTTGCAAAAGCGGTAGGAAAGCCTTGGCATTGTTTACAAAGCTTACTATCCATTATGTCAGTAGTTTAATCTGTGGTATCGCTTTGAGGTGATAGGAGTAAATCACAAATTCAATGTTGATTAATTTTCATTTGCCACCTATGGTAGATCATTTCCAAAGACAGCCACCAACAATCCCTCACCTCCCAGTATATACATGCCATTCCTCCCATCAAGTGGTAGAATTTGTCAGATTTCCTCCCCTTGAATCTAGGCTGGCCTTACTCCTTGTTTTGACCAATAGAATGTGGCACAAGTGACATTCCTTCTGAATTTGCTTTTTGAGATCCAGACACCATGTAATATTCTTGAATGATAACAGTCCATGTGAAGAGATGCTATCCCAGATAGTCTGACCTCAGCCAAGTTCCCATCTGATGCCATGTGGAGCAGAGATGAACCATCC